GGAAAATGGGGTCACTATAATTTTGGAGGAGAAGCTCTGAGGCGTGTATGAAGACACCGTCTTTAGAATGTTATTTTCCCCCACTCAGTTTCACTGAGTTTGCTGTTGGATTACAGGCAAATCCGTTCGTAGGATACAATAGAGCCTTGGGCGAGAATCTATAACCAGCAAAGTTGAAGAATCTCCGGAGAAACCTTCTGTGAGACTGTAGCAGATTGGACTGAGAGAGAGAGAGAAAGTGGATTTCAAAAATGTGTTTTTTTGTAAGAGAAAAGCTAATTTTTCAATTAAGTGTGCAGGTACAATTTCTCATGTAATTGACCAATCAAACCCATTGGATTTAATCTCTTATGAGATTAAAATCCAACAACTTTCAGTCCTATGATCAAGCCCATCACAATTTGGGTTGTTCTCTCGGTCGCTATCTCCAAAGTGTGGCCAATCAAGCAGTTAGATGTACATAGTGCCCTCTTGCATGGCCTTCTTGATGAAGACATTTATATGGCCCAACCCCCTGGGTTTGTGGACTCTGCTCGGCCCAATTTTGTCTGCAAATTGCGCAAAGCCTTATATGGGCTCAAATAAGCCCCATGGGCCTGGTTTTTCCAGCTGTATTCACACCTCTTGAAGTTGGGATTTCAGGGGTCTGCTTGTGACCCGTCTTTATTCCTCTACCACTCAGGGGATACCATCATCTATGTTCTTGTCTACATAGATGACATCATCATCACCTGCAACAAGCTCTCTGCGGTTCAGTCTCTCATCTCGGATCTCTCACGGTGCTTTGCATTAAAAGATCTTGGTGGCTTCAATACTTGACACTCACCCGCCCCGATATTGCTTTTGCGGTGAATAAGACATGTCAATTTCTCTCCTCCCCCACCACAGCCCATTGGACCACAGTGAAGCGAATCCTCAAGTATCGAAAGGGACCCTAACTCATGGTCTGTGAATTCGCTCTTCTCCCTCCTGTCACCTTCAGGCATTCTCCGATGCTGATTGGGCTGGCTGCCCCGATGACAGGTGTTCTACAAGTGGGTTTGCTCTCTTTCTGGGCCCGAACCTACTCTCTTTGAGTGCCAAGAAACAACACACTATTGCCCACTCTAGTATCGAAGCAGAGCTCTGTGCCATTGCCTTAGCCATCACTGAAGTTATCTGGGTTTAGCAGTTACTCACAGAACTGAAGATTGTCTCTCCTTCAGCCCCCGTTGTATGGTGTGACAATGTTGGTGCTCTCTATTTGGCTGCTAATCCTATGTTTAAAGCCCGGACCAAACACGTGGAAGTCAATTTTCATTTTGTTTGTGATCTGGTTCATCGTCACTTCCTGGTTGTCCGTTACCTCCCCTCTCATGACCAGATTGCTGATGTTTTGACCAAGAGTCTGCCAACCTCTCAATTTACTATACTTCGTGACAAGCTGAACGTTCACCCTACTGTTCAGCTTGAGGGGGCGTGTAACGGATAACGTAGTTATCCGATGGTTGAGATGAAGAGATTAGCATCATCTGGTCATCACCCTGGTCATCACCACTAACGCCATTGGCCTCTGTTTTGAGGTTATCTATCTCACTTTGTTCTTTGTACTCTCCTTTTGTTGTTGTTGGCGTATACAAGGAACAAAGTTAGATAGATAACCTCAAAACAGAGGCCAATCAATGGCGTTAATGGTGATAACCAGGGTGCTATGTGGATGTATAAATGATATCTCATAGAAAATCCACAGCATGCAATTCATTGTGGTAGCTAAGTATGGCACCGGAGAGAATTCCTCCACAGGTCAGCCATCGATCTTCAGCTTCGTTGGCGAAAGCAAACAAAAAGCTAGGAGAAAGAATGAAAGAGCCACACTGAGCAGAAGCTAAGAACTGGAGATAAAGAATGGAAGAAATAATGTTTTATTTGTTCAAAGAAAAGAAATTCGTGAAGATTTGGCTCATCATTATATGAGGTGGATCCAACAATGTTTTATTTGTTCAAAGAAAAGGAACCACTGTTCGTCCCAACTGTACAAATTCATAAAGATTTATGAGTTGGATCCAACAATATCAAAACTTGTAGAATTTTCACCATATTGACTAGTCTTTGCCTTATTACAACTTACTATCCTATAACTAACAGTGACCATGAACAAATGAAGAACCAAAATTGATCGTTGGGTCATAGTTTGAACCGTACTTCACCATCTGGTTCAACCATTTGGCTCATCATATGAAAATATGAAAATGAAAATATATATATATATATATATATATATATATATATATATATATATA